TTTTTTTGCGACTTACCTGTATGCGAAGTACCAGGTGTACCCAGGTAGATCAGGCAGACAGTCATATATCTGCTTATTGAGTCGACTGATACCTTTAAACAAAGTCTCATGATGCATCAAACACTTCATGAAAAATGAGCTCTCGGACCAAAACTCAATTTAAAAAACTATGCATAATCAATGAATTTATAGTAAACGAACTGACAAATAAATAAACTAAAAGAAAGTAATAATAACAATAATAATAATGTCAAAAATGTAGTATTAAAGTATAAGTAACAAAACAAACAATTAATTTAGGCCCGATCAGGGATCGAAACCGGGACATAGTGATTAGCAAACGCGTTTACGACTCACAGACTAAAGATACAAGAAATTAGTAATCTGGTTATTTGCAGATTCTTTTATTATTATACGTGGTAGAGCCATGCTGCAGCTATATTAGTAGTATAGTTGTAGCACGAATGGGTCGGCTCGACCGGGGAAGGACCACGCTCTCACAGAATACCAGCGTCAAATAGCAGCTTAACGCTGCTGTGTTTCGTATGGTGAGTGTAGAGAACCGGAGACCCTTTTTACTGGAAACGAGGCATTCTATCTTAGTCCTCACGGGTGGCAACGCATCTGCATTTTGATTCGCAAACGAGGATAAATGTAGATGTCTACGGACCACAGCAGCTACTTACCATCAGGTGGACTGTGTGCTCGTTTGTCACCCTATACTATAAAAAAAATATATATATTTTCAAAATTGTTAATGTATGTATTTTCTATAATATACATATGAATTACTAATGTATAAAACTATTTTATCCTAAAACTAAATATACTAAAAAATAAACAAGAACTATTTAAACAAGTACATATTTACAAAAAAAATATTTAGGTATATAAACAGTGTCACAAATTTTATAATTTACTACTACATCGGTCGCTTGCCTAAAACGCTCTCGCCGTATGTAATTGTAATGTGAGGTTTTGAGAAAAACGTTATTAGATGGAAATTAGAGGTAATGTTGTGATTTTTTTCTATCGAGATTATTTTATTTTATTATGATTTTAATCAATGTAGTTAGTTCCTCGTAATTGAGATATCCATATTGTTAATTAATATGAACTTGATTAAGCTATGTAAAAATCGGTTCAAAGATTCGATTCGAAATCTACAGTATCGATTCACATAAACTTGTAGTCTAGAAGATAAATTTCCCAAAAGCCAACTTTTCTGTTTCTCTCATTTTCTTTGAGATGGAAGACGAAAGAAAAAGAAGCTAAATACACCTTAAAAATGATTTCATGTAACTCAAAAATCCGATATTTTTTTCAATTTCTTTAGAAATAATTATTTATTATTTTAGAGCAAAAATTTTATTTAACAAAATATTCATAATTTCCAATATTTTATATTTGTTTGGCATCAAATTCAGTGCGGTCAGTTAATTGTAAATATTTATATAATTGTATTTTTTCTGAAATAGAAAAAAAATCTAATAATTTAGGTGTCTGAGATCGGATCATATGATCGATCTATTATTTAAGATCGATTAAATTTATGAATTATCACCTAAAATCCCTTATTCGATCTCTGACTGCCATTCATATAGCCAAAGCGAGCTTAGGGATTGCAGCACAGCAGCTCAATGAACTTCATTGTTTTATAAGTACTACGTAGTATGTCCTAGAAGCTATTCTAAACAGAAAATGTGTCGCATCTTGATGACAGCGATGGTTTGCACGGGTCGAGCGCACCGTGAACTTACTAATGTTTTACTGCAGCGCTAAAAAATTAGTTCAAACTATTAAAACATAAAGCGCTAGATCGCTTATAGAGTATAGTTTTCACGCGACCAAATCGAAATTTCATGGCACTTACGCCTTTCGTTTAATTTCGATATTACAACGCAGAAATGACAGTCTATGTACGTTAAAAACTTATTAATAGTTATATCAATAAAAATCATTTTCGAATGGCTCTGCTGGCGGCATTGACGGAATTACGCCTCAACATCTTAAAGATCTTTTAAGCGCTTCTGCCGGTGACGCCGGCGGAGTACTTCTTAAAGACATTACAAAATTATGTAATTTTATGCTTTCTGGTAATGTTAATCCAAATTTCATTCCATTCTTATATGAGGCAAGATTATGTGCCTTCAAAAAAAAGGATAACGGTATCCGTCCTATTGCCGTTGGTTCCACATTTCGACGCTTAACCTCAAAATTAGCTTGCAGGTACATAATCTCTAACCTTAAGAACAAATTTCAGCCTACTCAACTAGGTTTTGGCACTAGAGGTGGCTGTGAGGCGGCGGTACATTCAGTGCGTACATTTTTAACAAACTCTGATGCAGATGTTCTTGTGAAGGTTGACCTAAGGAATGCTTTTAACTCTATCGATAGGGTAACCTTGCTGAAAGAAGTGGCTAACAATACCCCCGAAATTTATCATTACGTTTGGCAATGTTATAGTCAAAATACTAACTTGTTTTACGAAAACCATGTTATCGATTCTGCTGTTGGTGTTCAGCAGGGTGACCCTTTGGGTCCAGCACTTTTCAGTTTGGGAATTCAACCCTTTATTTCAAATTTGAAATCCAAGCTGAATGTCTGGTACCTAGACGACGGTACACTGGTGGACGGTCCTCAGCGATCTTACTCATATTTTTCGAAATTTTAAAAATATTGGCCTTGAACCAAATAGCAATAAATGTGAAATATTTTTTTCCAATAATTTATCTACTTCTCATAGAGACAATTTAATTCAAAATTTTAATCATATTTGTCCAGGAATAAAAACTGTCAATACGGAATCACTATACCTGCTAGGTGCCCCGTTGTTTTTCGATAGTATTAAACCTGTTTTAAAAACAAAATTTGATCAGTTTTTAAACCACGTTGATAAATTGTATAAATTAAACCCCCACATAGCTCTTACTATTTTAAAATATTGTCTTCTTGTACCTAGATTTACATACTTACTCCGCTCGAGTCCAGTCTGGAAATGTTCGGATATTTTACAAGATATTGATAATAATCTTAAAATTGCTATAGAAAAAATTCTAAATTTAACTTTAAATACAACAGCCTGGGCTCAAGCTACTTTTCCTATAAAATTTGGTGGCATTGGTGTGAGAAATATTTCTAGCGTTGCATTGCCTGCTTTCCTTGCTTCCGTGCATAGTGTCAGTGACTTATGTAACATAATTTTAAATAATAAAGTTGACCTATGCTTTGCTACGGAGGCAGGGCAGACATGGCAAACGCTCTGTCCTGGTGAAAATATTCCACTGGAAGTTAACCAACAAAAACAGTGGGATATTCCGTTGGTACAGGGCGTGCAGAAGGATTTGTTTCATAATTTCCATAGTGACCAAGATAAGGCACGCCTTCTAGCTGTTTCGACTAAGGAATCTAGTCACTGGTTACTAGCTTTACCATCAAGTAATCTCGGCACATTACTTGGTAGGGAAAGCTTGCGTATTGCCGTAGGGATCCGACTAGGAGCGGCGATTTGTCAACCCCATCAGTGCCCCTGTGGTAGCAGCGTCGACAAGTTTGGGCTCCACGGACTTTCATGTAAGAAAAGCTCTGGTAGGTTTTCACGACACAGTTCTTTGAACGATGTCATCCGAAGGGCTCTTGCCTCTATAAATGTTCCCTCGGTTTTAGAGCCTTGTGGAATATTTAGAGACGATGGCAAGAGACCCGACGGTATGACATTGGTCCCTTGGGAGAGAGGTAAAGCCCTAGTGTGGGATGCTACTTGCGTAGACACTCTGGCGGCCTCTCATCTCAGGGGTACCTCGTTTAGAGCCGGGGCGGCATCAGAGGCAGCTGAGCTGAGTAAGTGGCGCAAATATGAGTCTCTGAGAGATGACTACATATTTGTGCCATTTGCTGTAGAGACTATCGGTCCGTGGGGTCCACGTGCGGTGAAGTTCCTAAAGGAACTCCATCCGCGGCTGCTCGTTGCTGCTGGTGATAGGAGGGCTGGTTCTTTCCTCGCTCAAAGGCTAAGTATAGCCATTCAGCGGGGAAACGCAGCCAGCGTTCTTGGCACGATACCCCGGGGAGTAGGACTATATGATAATTAAGTTTCTAGTTTTAGTTTTTTTTTATTATTATAGTTTTTAATATTGTAGATAAAATTAAGTATTATTAAATAATATATTGTTTCGAGAAAAAAAAATAAAAATAAAATAAAGTAGAAAATTAAAAGTGTTCAGAGCGGCTAGGATAACTATCCATACATGAACACAAAAAACAACATATGAAAGTCTCACTGCTGAACCCCATAGATTGTATTCGGGAGATTTTACCACAGTTGCCACGCTTGGCAGGCAGGTTGTTTAGAATACCTAACGCGTACTTATCGGTACGTTATCTTTGTTGAAATACCTTTATATTTTTAATATTTATAAATCATAACCATTAGCGATCAAACTTTATTTAAACGTGCTATATGCTTGATGATTACATAACTCTGAGTAGATTATAATTAGTCTGATGGTTACAGCTACACCTCAAGGACGAGTTTAGAGCACTCCCTCATGTCGTGAGATGTGTCCAAAATAATAATATTTATGTTTTATATGTACATAACTAGTTTCTCGGAAACGGGCCCTACGTATGATTTGAGTAAAATTTGGTACTTATATAATATTTTACTTTACCTACAAATTTACGTGTAAAGCACATCATTCAGGAAATTATTATTTTTTCTAATTCCGAGCAAGTTTGGTCACCCAGAAACTTTATAATATGATACACACATAATACAGCTTGAAGAAAATAAATAGTATGTTTTGCCGTCGCCACTACGCTGTGCTTGACCGCACATTGACCCCGAGCGAGTTATGGTTGCGCATTCTGCCGTGCTACAGCGCCGCTGTCTTTGTGCGGGACGCGAGGGTGAAATTGCAAAATTTTCTTGCTCAGTACCCACACTTAAGCTAAAAAATAAAAATTATACTAAAAAATATTTAAAAAAAAACACCCTCAAAAGACAGATATTAATATTTTTATTTTATTTGATTATGTCTTCCAACCAGTATATAAACAGCAGCGTCTTCCTAATAATAACTAGAAAATACAAACTACATTATTAATTACAGATTTGTATAAATATTACCCGGGATTTATTTTTATAGTTATTTAAATTTACAAAAGTCACACATAAATGAATTAAAAAAAGTTATTAAACAATATTCTATATTAAACAATAGATAAGTGTCGATTTTAAGTTATCAATAATAATAACATCTAAATTAGCACATAATATGACGATATTTTAAGATAATGGTGTTTAATGCTTAATTTATTTTGTGTAAGTTTTAGTTCGACTTCACTTTCTCGATATCCTTCATTGGCATTATGAGTTTGACGAGTTGTGCAATCGGAGCTTCAATCAGTAGCCAGAAAGGAAACGCGACTAAATAACAAAGCAGACCAGTGCCGACTTGTATTAATACCTGAAATTATATAAAAATGTTTGTCAATGCTCTCGTACTTTATGCTTTATAAGTTTAACGAAGTGTAATGTAGTTTTCGCTAACTACTTCTTTATTGATGATTCTTTATAATATTGTTTAAACATAGCATTGTCGCATTGTTTCACAGCAGCAGCACTTTTTAATACTTTTTACTGTAAAGCTTAAAACTACTCAATATAACTAAGGCCACTATGTAATATAATTAATAGAATTAGGCGTTCATATGAGGAAATCAATTATATTAAAAATTTAAATTTTTTTAGCTAAGATCCGGGTAGTAAAAAAAAATGATGTGTCGTAAATAGTTTCAAGAGCACCTCTAGCCCTCCTTCAATTGCGTGCACTATCCCCGTCACTACTAATCCTACCACCACTACTCCTAACACGACTACAGTGAAAAAGACACACCACCGTCGATAAAATATAAAATCGTTAAGCTTGCATCTTAATAACATACAGCCTCGCATTGTAGTCTTTCTCACTCTCATTACAATCAGCAATTGCTTACGTAGTTGAAGGGTAGGCTGAGGTTTCGCAATGGTTTGTTGTTAATTACAGTAAACAGCTGCGTACGTCAGGTGGTGATTAATCGCATGTTTTATCGCATGACGTAGCCGCTCCCAACTTAAGTGGGAAGCGGTTGCGTAAGCGAGATTTATAAATAGCAGAGGTTTTGGCTATTGTGGCTAGCCACCGCTGAGTCAATTTTACCTGAAAATGCCTCGTTTGGAGGCGAAACACCTGTCGTTTTATGGACGGTGACGGTGGTGGATCTTTCCTAGTGTAGTGGTGTTAGATTAGTGGTGACGAGGATTTTTTAAGATATTTAATAAGAGACGACTACTACCATGGCATGCCGCGTGACAGCAGCATATCTGCACCTATTACCCCATTTATATCCATGGCTATCGTAAGAGATGACTATAGGATTAGCTTTGCGGCCTCAAATAGATGAAGATATAATGTCAATACTTAAACTGGAAATGAATAACAACAGAAGATGACAAGCACAATAAGCATGAACATTGAAGTGAATTCCCCAGAACAGGATAGGCCCTTGTCCAGCGGTGGAATGATTGGACTAGATAATGTTTTTTTTTTTTAAGAATAAAAGTGAGAGACGAGCACGCAGTCCGCCTAGTAGTAGGTGGTTGCTGTGGTCCATAGACACGTACATCTATCCTCGTTTGCAAATCAAAATACAAACGCGTTGCCAGCCGTGAGGACTAAGATGGAATGCCTCGTTTCCAGTAAAAAGGTTCTCCGGTTCTCTACACTCACCATGCGACACACATCAGTATTAAACTGCAATCTTACGCTGGTATTATGTGAGAGTATAGTCCTTCCCCGGTCGAGCTGACCCATTCATGCTAAAACCATAATATAGCTGCAGCGTGGCTCTACCACGTAAAAAGTAAAAAATATGATGGCAATAAAGTTTATACTTTAATGACATAGTCAGGTACAGGTCAAAAGGAATATAATAAATATACAAACGTAACACCTAACACTCTTTCCAGGACAGTCTGTTAAAAACAAAAATGCGAAGAAAATATAATATATAGATCTAAATACTTACAAAGTATGGAAACGTAACGTGAATCAACGTAGTTCTTGTTCCAGTAATTGATCTGATCAGCAGCATATGTATTATGTATGCTGAATATGAAACCCTAGCAGGCGATGTCCAACCTTGCCACTCTAAAATGCCTCGGTAGATATCTGAATCATAAACGAGTTAGTGAATGAAAAACATTTATTGAATAATTAGGTTTTAAATACGACCAACAGCATGACCCGGGTCAGGGAATATGGCAAGTTAAAAAGTTTTAATTATGTGAGCGACGTTAAATGAAATTCCTTTACCTATTCAAGAAACGTTTTGTACGTACATACGTACTACGTACATACGTACTAAAAAGAATTTTATACCATCCGTTTTATTACGTGCGAGGTAAAAACATTTTAAATTACAAATTATTCATTCAGAAACTTAGAATAACTTAAAACGAAAATACTTTCAACGGTTCATAAATAGTTGGACTGTTTTTTTTTAAACAGCTTCTAAGACAAAACGTACAGTATTTGTTTGAGCCAAATGTAGAATATTGACAATTGAGCGATTAACAATCCTCCTGCCCCCTTTCTACAATTGAAGAGAGATGTACCGCCACTGACTACGTCATTGCAAATGCAAATTTTGTGGGTAAAAGGCTAAATATTTAAGAATTTTTTTTTTTATAACAATATTATTTATTTTAATATACGAGTATAAAGAAGGTTATCATCATTTATCATTATTATTACAGCCCTTCACAAGTCCACTGCTGAACATAGGCCTTCCCCAAGGAATGCCTCAAAGCACGCTCCTGAGTCACCTGCATCCATCAACTTCCTGCATGTCTTACCAGGTCGTGACTCCATCTAGTGAGGGGATACCCTATACTTCGTCCGCCGGTACGAGGCCGCCACTCGAGAATCTTTTTTCCCCATCGGTTGTCGGTTCTTCGAGCTATATGGCCGGCCCATTGCCACTTCAGCTTACTAATCCATTGGGCTATGTCGGTCACTCTGGTTCTACTGCGGATATCCTCATTTCTGAGTTTATCACGCAGAGAAACTCCGAGCATAGCCCTCTCCATAGCTCGCTGAGCGACCTTGAGCTTCCTCATACGGCCAGCAGTGAAGGACCACGTCTCAGTTCCATAAGTCATCACTGGCAACACGCGTTGGTTGTGCAGTCTCGTTTTTAAGTTTTGAGGTATACCTGACGAGAAGATGTGCCGTAATTTGCCGAACGCTGCCCAACCGAGTTGAATCCGTCGATTGACCTCTCGGTCGAAGTTGGACTTACCTATTCGGACTATTTGTCCCAGGGAAACATACTCGTCAACATTCGAGCTTAGTGCTCCCAACAATTACCGACATAGACCTATCCGTTGGGAGACACTTTTGAGGTCATTGAGCATAGATCCTCCAGCAATTGTGCCATAAGCACTATATCGTCGGCACATCGAAGGTGAGTGATGTACTCACCATTGATGTTAATATCGTATCCTTTCCAGTCCAGAAGCTTGGAAACGTTTTCCAATGCAGCGGTGAAGAGTTTCACGGATATAACATCACCCTGTCTTACACCTCTCTGCAATTGGATAGGTTTCGTACTCTGGTTCTGTACTCGGATAGCATTCGTAGCCCTACTGTACAAGCACTTCACACTTCATTTCACTTCACAAAAATACTTCTGTAAAAGTTGCCAAAGGGTATGTATGTGGTCTATGGTGCTAAAGCCCTTTCGGAAACCGGCTTGTTCGGGAGGCTGGAAGTTGTCAAGTCTGCGCGCGAGACGATTAGTAATGACTCTCAAAAACAGCAAGTAGACGCGGCTCAGAACGGAAATCGGTCTGTAGTTCTTCAAGAGAGCATTGTCACCTTAAAGAACAAGACCACCGCACTTCTGCTCCACGCCTCCGGTGTAATGCCACCATGGAGGACGGAATTAAAGAGCTTCTGAAGGACTTCAAGTACCGTTTTTCCACCCGCTTTCAGAAGCTCCGCTCTAATTTCATCCTCGCCTGGGGCCTTGCCAATTATAAGGTGCTGGAGAGCCATTCTGATCTCGCTCAGACTGACGTCCAGGATATCATCGGAATAGTATCGGATAAGACTCGCTCTTGGATTGTTACTCACACTTGCATGTGGCTCCAACGATGACGTGTACAGCTGCCCATAGAACCTCTCAATCTCAATCAAAATCTCAGGTGTCCCGGAAACGACGCTGCCACACTCGGTATTCAGCTTTGACAGTTGGCTCTTTCTGACAGACAGATCTCTAGCAAAGACTTTGAAGCCCTGGTTCCACTTGATCGTTTCTTCAATACGAGCTGTATTAAAGTTGCGTAAGTCCAGTCGCATGCAGTCATCTGTCTGTTCAGTTGCCTGAATGCTGTGAAATCTACTGAAGACTGCAGCTTCACACCCCATCAAACAGTCATAAGATTAAGAGTGTGATCGGAGAGTTTTTGTGTTCTTCTGCGGCAAATCTTCCTAAACTTAGCTCCGACCGCATGGACAGTTTCCACGAGCTTGCCATTCATATTGTCCACTGCATTTCAATCTTCTAGGCACTGAAAACGGTTTTGTAACTCGAGCTGAAAGGTTTCGGGACTTTGGATTAGAGCACGAGGGGAACGGATTGTTGACTTCATTAGACGTGACCTCTCCGACTTAACGTTTAGGTTCAGTGTGCCTCTCACCATTCGTTGATCGCTGCCGGTTTTCACCCTCGCGATCACTAAGACATCACTGAACAGTTGTCGTCTGGTCGTCATAATGAAGTCAATCTCATTTTTTGTCGAACCGTCGGGGCTCGACCAGGTCCACTTTCTGTGGGACCTCTTCTGGAAGAAAGAGTTCTTCATAAAGAGTCCTTCTTTCTCCATGAAGTCTGCCAGCTGGTGGCCCCTCGGGCTCCGTTGCTCAGTTCCGAATTTCCCAACTTTCAGCTCACCGTTCTCTCTTGTGCCTAGTTTTGCGTTGAAGTCTCCCATTAACACCGTATATTGAGTTTTGGAGGAATGCATGGCTCTAAATATATCCTCATACATTTCCTCCATCTCATCATCGTGGTGCGCCGAGGTTGGTGCGTAAACCTGTATGTCCTTCAGCGAATACCGTTTGGTGATTCTGTGTATAAGTATAACCCTCGTCGACACACTCCCAATCTTTACAACGATAAATCCGACACCTCTTTGGGACACATGGTCACCTTCCCGGTGATAGAACAAGTTGCCGGATTCGAGGATTACCGTGTCCTCCCCCTCTCTTCGGACTTCGGATAGTCCTATAATATTCCAGCGCAACTTGTCTATCTCTTCTTCCAGCTCCAGGATCTTCTCGTCAGTCCTCGTGAGTGGTGCGCGCGTTATAAGTTGCCAGGTCGAGTCGTCGTAGGTGGCAACCGAACCTCCACCGGAGATTCTTAGCACCCCCTGCCCCGCCGTTACCATGGTCGCCACGGGACTGGGGCCGTCTTTTAGTAACTTTATTCATTTGGGGAGTATATTGCCATAGTTACCACGCTTGGTGAGCGCGTTGGCAACCGCAGTTTTTAATTGATGTGTGGTGGTTGCCCTGGCAGTGCGTGCAGGGCTGCTGGTGCTGGTAGTCTCGTAAATGACTCCCCAGGCACGTGTAGCACCAGCGGTGCTCCCTGGCGATGGTTCGCCTCGCCGTAGCAGGCTTGCACCACAACTTAGGGCACGACGCCGCCCGGTGGTCGGATGCTCGACAATAGGAGCAGGGAGACGCCTCCCGGGTCGCTAGGCCACTATAGGAGTGTAGGGGGGGGGGGGGCGCCCTCTGTGATATACATCAATATCATAATTTAAAACTGCGGTATCAGGAAGATGCTGCTGCCCATCTCCTGACCGTTTCCCACTGTCGCCTTTTACGACATCCACGGGAAGATATTGGGTAGTGGATATTCTTAACCGCCACTACACAGCAAGGTTATAATATATCTTTATTTTTTATTTTAAATTAATTTTTATTTCATTTGTGTAAGTGGGTTTCTATATCGCAATCAATATAAACGCAATCTACATAGGTCTATATAAAAAGCATTTGATAGAGGAGATCGTAAGATTTTATCAAGGAAAATAATATATCGGTATTGAAAGTTTTCTATTAAGCGGGTTGGATAGTTATTTATTTGATCGGAAATCTTACGTAGTGGTGAACGAAGTTGAGTCGAAATAATTTAAAAAATTATTTACCGTTCCCGAGGGACCACATCTTGGCCCTTTTCTATTATAAATATCTGCTACAGCCTATTAAATTTCACTGATAAACATAGGCCTACCCCATAGATTGTCTCAAAGGGCAGTTTTTATTTTTATTTCAAGTCGTTATTTGGAAGAAGCTGCGACCCATCTCCTGATTTGTTTATCTTATGACACTAACGGGATGATATGGTTTACTACGCGGTATTCTATTATAAATGTATACTAATGATATTACCACCTGTTTTATGCTAACTCATTTGCTGTTTATTTAAATTCATAAAGCCTATAAGAACAAAGGAAGATCATATACTCTTGCAATATAAGATTTATTTATTTTTATTTTGTTTTCAAACATAGAGAAATATTTCAATTAACTTTCTCGCGTCATATAAATATCAATTCGAAATATTACGAATTAAGTAACAAAAGTTGAGCCAATTATCAAGCATACGAGATTTAGGCATAATTATAATTATTATCATCTCGAAGTGGAATTTTCACGATGATATCATCATCTGTCATTAAATTAATTTGATTAAATAATTAGCATATTAACTGGAAAGTAAATTTCCTGTAACTAGAATAACTCAACTAAACATATAATTAGTTGATCACGTCTTTCTATATTGATACGATATATATTAAAGATTTATAGCACTGAGTTTACATACATTTATGAATATTATCATATTTGAATCTCTTTTGAAATATTGCAAAAATGATACATAATTCCTTGCAAAATACCGCTTGAAAGAAAACATCGTGAGGAAACCTGACAAATAAGAAAAAAATATATATTTCGAAGACATGGGAAGTTCGCCAACACGCGTTGAGGCAGCGCGGCAGACCTTACCTTGCCCTAAAACCCTCCCAGAAATAGAGGAGGCCTGTGCCCAGCAGTGGGACGTATAATGGGCTGTAACTTTAACTTTAACTTTTTTAAAATACCGCTAAACCCCGACCAACCCAACACCCTCCGAACGGGTTCCCGCCTTGTCGTGGCGGGGGGCTTAGTAGCCGTGGCTTGGTTACCCGCGGTGAACGAAGAGTTACCCACAGAACTGGCCCAAGTTAAAGAGTCGGCCCGAAGAGATTACTCCAAGTGGGCTTGGCGAGCCCACTTCGAATGTGTGCTGATGGGCTGCAGCGAGAGACTTAACCTCTTCCCCTACCGCTGCAGCCGAGGTGGAGCCGCGGAGGAAGAGGAGTGTTGGTATGGCAATGCGCTACTCGCCCTATCCACTGCGACTCTGACGGGACCGTACAATTGATGCAGTTGTGGTGGGGCTGCGGGGGGAGAGGAGTGTCGTTATTGCAAGGCGCCGCTCTCCCTACCCTCCGCAGCCGAATATTGGTTGGAGGCAGTCATAGATTAGATCAATCGCTGGGGTCAGGAAGGCTAGTGCTTCTGAGTCTTCGTTTTTCCTGGCCCCATGGCCTTCGCGCATTGGACAAGGGGGCGTCTGTTGCGCGGGTAAATTTCCACTCCGACGCAAAATCGACATAACCGTCCTTGACCCCGTGAGGTGGGTATGCGTAGGCATTTCCCCATGTAAACAAAAACAGACCCTGTCCAAAATTTTGATCATTAGTTTGTTTACATTTTCTATGTTATTTTCGGATTTGTCGAATTTACATCGTAGTTAAGTAGGTCAGGTTAATAAAAGTATATGATAACCAGGCTGTGTTTATAAGGCGATCTAATGGGGGTCATAATATTATAGTGTATATCGGATCACAGGCCACATAACAATTCCCAGTGAGCTGAAAGGGTGAGAAACAAAAATTGCAACGGTTCTCTTTTCTCGAGAGGTTGACGGGAACTTATGCAGATGTGGTATAACAGATTTATAGGAGCTATTTAAAACAAACATAAAAGTGATAAAATTTTCAAATTTGCCAAATATCCCTCATATGAAGTAATCTATGGGGGACGCATGTTCAGCAGTGGATTTTTGGTAGGCTGTAATGTAATATTAATGTATGTAATTAAATTTTATACTTTATGGTTTTATAATAGTACTCTAATCACAATAGTCGCATCGATTAAAAAAAATAGAAAATTACATTTTTTTTATAGGAGAGGGGGCAAACGAGCATGCGGCTCACCTGATGGTAAGTGACTACCGCCGCCAATGAACAACTGCAACACCAGGGGAACCAGGGGAATAGGAGATGCGTTGCCGGCCTTTACATAAAAAGATTAAAAAAAATATTTAAAAATATTTACTTTCCATCTTGAACACCAGTCCCAAAATTAAAAGTGAAGTAAGAAATCCAACCACTGGCTTAATTAAACTAGAGTATACGGCCTTCAGGAGAAGCGAAGGTGATGCACCATCCATATAGAACAAACCACTGCATATAATTACTCCAATGCCAACAGGAACGAGAGCCCAATACAAAAATTTGAATTTCTGAAAAACAAAACGACAATGCTACAATAGATAAAAACTACATTACGTGAATAAATATTTAATCTATGCACAGCAATGATATTGTAGTTTTATCGTAAAATTTTCTGATCAATGCCAAGTCTGAAGGTCGAGGCGCCTGTGGAGAAAGGGAGTTGTCTTCCCCGAGGAAGGGCGCTAAAAACGGGTAGTGTTCGCGTAGTTACATATGTATGTTAAAGCGTTCCGTTACATGCGTAGAAAATGTGTCGAATAATCAGTGTCTAAGCCGCCCTTGCTTCCGCTAAGCAGGTATGCGTAGGAATTTCACCGTGGAAAAAAAAAGCTGCTTTTATGTAAACGTTAAAATTTGTGGCACTACAATACAACCCATCCTGTAGTGGCTCACTATAATATTTGGTAGTTATTGCTGTGAAAAACTTCGACCAGAAAGTAAAAGTACTTTTCAAAATAAGCCTGATCGAACAAAGAAAAATTATTATATCTTTCTTATCAACTATTATAATAATCTTAACTTAAATGTTAAGATACTATAAAGTTCCGTAATAACAAAAATGTTTATTATTTACCTTGTATTTTTTAATGTTGAATTTTTCCTTCTGCATTTTGTGTATTAACAAACCAAGACCAAGACCTAAAATGTAATTGGCCAAGTTGGTATGACTACGCTTATACGTGTTGTTGAACGTTGGATCTGCTACGAAAAAAAACCGAGTCGATCTGTTGAAGAAAATTTATTTATTTTTAATATAAGAAGGTTCAAACAAGTAAATTAATAAAAGATTTTGGCATAGAAAATAAATAACAAGCAATCATAGCTGCCAAATCAGGTCATATTTGTGTTTGTTTTTTTTTTTATTTAAAATTAGCGTGCTAACTCAATTTCATAAATAAATCCTGGCTACAGCTAATGATTTATAGCTCTATGAATATTAGGTCATAATTACTGTTCTTACGGTTTTTCTATCCAACCCAAATTGCAAAGTTCAACTTGTATAACAAATATATCACGATATCAGAAAGAAAATTATATATATGTATATGTATAATAATATTAAAGAATTTTCAAAGTAAGTTTCATGTTCCTAGTTTCAGTTTCAGATCGCTCTCTTAATTACGTTTTTGTTTTCTCGTAAGCAATTACCATTACATACAACGTTCGTTGGAAGTTCAAAACCATAAAGCAATGCGGGCCGCCGTCGTATCGGACAATATGTTCAAACATATACTATTTTATAAATTAATCCCAAAAGACTTCTAAATGCATTTCGTCCAGCCAAGATCAGATCTTTTTAAATATGTCAAATTAACCAGCACAGATATTCGCGCGGGGAGGGAGGTAAACAAATTCACATAGTAGGTACCAAAAAACTACAAATTTGTACTCAGAATTATTTTTCCTTCTCAAATACTAATTAAATCCTTACAGGTACATTTTAATTATCGCTAATGCAGTGAAAAAAATAATAATTTGGCCACGTCGGCATTCGCAATTTTTCTCCTCAAGCTCTTTTCTTGTTTTTGAATATAAACATTAATTAAAGGAAAATGTTTCTAATAGGAATTAGCTTTTTACGTTATTAATTTTGTTATAACATATAAATTATTATGTTAAAACATTTGAATACATCTAAAATATAACAATTTTTATTATAGTGTAGGGATTTACAAGTTAAATAAACATGAAAATAAAATAATATTTTGTTATATTTTATGAACACGAAACTCGGCCTCTGATCTGATGAAAGTGAGACGGGGGTATTATCTTTTTAGAAAAAAATCGAAATACTACACCTACCACAGTATTTCTTTGTAAACAATATTTTTTATTTTTCCTTCGTGTGCTAGAATCACCATGCCACTCTGTGCGCTTACTTTGAAGCATCCCATTTACAACTGACCTGGTGAAAAGCAGCTTTCTCTCAAGTTTTCTGCCGCTACCTTAAGAGTTTGGCCTTGAGCTTTGTTTATGATTATGGCGAAGCAGACTTTGGTAGGAAACTTCACTCTCTTGAATTCTATGGGGCAATTTGATGGTGTTAAGGGAATCCTAGGAATAATTGCAGACTCTCATCGAGAACAACCTGTCAGTATAGTTGCCTCGATTACGTTGGATCCAATGTTTTTACTTGCAATCTGGTGCCATTGCATAATTTTTGTGGTTTTATATTGCGCAGCAATCATCTATTAATTTTAATATGTGAGTTGCGAGACCGGGATATTCAGTGTATTTAAGAACTCGAACTGATAATGAATAGCATCATAGGTGTTTATCACTGTGTCGACGGATTTATATTGATATTCGACCCCTTCAAATGATCTAAAAAGTATTTATAACAGAGGCTTGTTCGTTTTTTGTTGCTAAGATGGCACGCTCGCATTACCACTCTGCAGGTTTATCGTGAATATTATTAATGTTGGGTGAATTTTAGCTATAAGCTCTTCTACAGTGGAAACAATTGAACCTAACTCTGTAGGGATTATGATATTATTATCCAGTTCCAGGATATCACCATTTCCTATTTTAAGCAACAGGTCTGAGAACTATCCGGCAGTAACATCTCCCTTAAGATGGACTCTAAAATATTTGGTAAGGCTAAGTTTTGTCTCTGAAGGCCACAAATGAGATCAATTCAAGCACGCCTTTACTTCGTCCGCTCGCGTTCTCTGGTTCTCGGGGCACTACTGGTAAAGTCTGACGGAAATTGCCTGCTAACAATATAGTAACTCCTCCCATTTGACAATTATTATTCCCCATTATCTTGTAAAGATCTATTTAGGGTATTGATCCCCCTTTACGAGCCATACTATTCATCACTCATCCCAATCGAAGAAAAAAGTTCACGAATTTTGAATGGTGACGCGCATAATGCTGATTTCTCTAGGGCAGAATCTGAATTTATGTCGTCCTCTAACTAATCAAGTCTCACGCAAGCTAATTTAAAAGTTGGTTTGGGGACACCGTTGACAGTCTTCAAGTCATCGAAGGATGATGAACCCCTAACCTTTTTTTTTTTTTTTTTTTTATAGGAGAGGGGCAAACGAGCATGCGGCTCACCTGATGGTAAGTGACTACCGCCGCCCACGAACAACCGCAACACCAGGGGAATTGCAGATGCGTTGCCGGCCTTTTAAAAAGGAGTAGGCTCTTTTCTTGAAGGTCCCTAAGTCGTATCGGTCCGGAAAAATCGCTGATGGTAATCGATTCCACAAAGAAGTCGTGCGAGGAAGAAAACATCTTCTAAATCGCACAGTGGTGGACCGCCAATCATCCAGATGGTGTGGATGGTATCGGGAGTTCTGCCGCGATGTGCGTTCATGAAATTTGGCGGCTGGGATTAATCCGAACAATTCCTCAGAGCACTCCCCATGGTAGATGCGAAAGAAAATGCAAAGAGATGCAACATCTCTTCGCAGTGCCAATGAATCGAGCCGATCGGAAAGGGCTCGGTCGTCGACGATTCGAGCCGCTCTGCGCTGGATGCGGTCAAGTGGAAGGAGCTGGCACTGGGGAGCCCCTGCCCAGAGATGGGAACAGTATTCCATGTGAGGCCGAACCTGCGCCTTGTAAAGTTGCAGGCGGTGTGCCGGCATGAAATACTGTCCCGCTCTGCTGAGCACGCCAAGCTTTTTAGAGGCCAATTTGGCCTTCTCTTCCAAGTGACCACGAAACTGCACGTCACTCGATATGTCGACTCCGAGGATACCGATACTGGCTGAGGCAAGAAGGGGAGTGCCTTGAAACTGAGGAGATACGACAAAGGGGTTCTTTTTAGCGGTAAACGCGCAAACTTGTGTCTTCTGAGGATTAAACTGGACTAGATTTAGTCGCCCTCAATCCGAGACTTTGTCCAGCAAAGACTCGACTTCAGACACAAGTTTGTTCCGGTACTCGGCGACGTTTTCCCGAGAAATATTGGCGCGGCCGGTGTATAGAGCATCACCAGTGCTGTAATCCGCATAGCAATGAATGTTACCAGTTAGCAACATATCATTGATATGCAGAAGAAACAGCGTTGGTGATAGCACACAGCCTTGTGGAACACCAGCGTTAATAGGCTTGTAGTCAGAACATGCACCGTCTACAACGACCTTGATGCTCCGATCTGCAAGGAAGCTGGTGATCCAATTGCACAATTTCTCGGGAAGCCCATAGGAAGGGAGCTTCGAAAGAAGCGCTTTGTGCCAAACCCGATCGAAGGCCTTCGCAATGTCCAGACTAACGGCCAACGCCTCCCCCTTGGACTCTACTGCCTCCGCCCATCTATGGGTCAGGTAGACTAGAAGATCACCAGCTGATCGACCCCGACGAAAACCGTATTGGCGGTCACTGATCAGCTGGTGATCCTCAAGGTACCGGATGAGCTGGCAGTTAATAATGGATTCCATTATTTTGGAGAACAAGGAGGTGATCGCGATAGGCCTATAGTTGGACGGGTCTGAGCGGTCGCCTTTTTTAGGGATCGGGTGGACAAAAGCTGTCTTCCATGAGTTCGGGACAACGCCATGGGAGTAGGAGTACCGGAAAAGACGCGTTAGAACCGGTGCCAACTCCGGAGCACACGTCCTCAGCACAATTGGGGGGATTCCGTCAGGCCCACTCGACTTGTGGATGTCAAGGGAGAGGAGTGCTCTGCGAACCGAGCGCTGTGAGAATAGCACATCCGGCATAGAGCACTCACACCGCGGAATGGTCGGCGGTGTGTTCCCCCCGTCATCAACAGTCGAGTTGGACGCAAAAAGGGAGCCTAAAAGGTCGGCCTTCTCTTTTGCGTCGTGGGCCAGTGAGTCGTCCTCCCTGTGCAGAGATGGTAGTGATGGCTTACAGAAATTCCCTTGGACAGCCTTGGCGAGAGACCGGAATGCACGGGTTCCCGAAGGAAGGCGAACTAGTTTCTCGCCAATTCTACCTCGTGCAGAAGTAAGCAAAGATGGTTACATTCTGTGTTATTCGGGTGAACCGTGTACACTCTACCTAGAGCGTGTTTTTTCATTATTCCTGGCCAGCCAGTTACGGGTTTTCCTTTTTTCCTTCTCACAAATTTATGTTTTTGCCATACAAAATATGAAGTGTTGTTTTTGGTGGGCTATTAACTTTGTCGGAGAAGATGTTGGAATTAAAATAGACTCGTTGGCCATTTTTTAGATGAAAAGCGTAAGAAAATGTAGCAGTTGATTATCGTAAACAATATTACGTAGGTTGATCATACAGTCTGCTGTGACCATTTGCAGGCTTTATTTTAGCATTTATAACAACTTTAAATGTATAAGGTGTAACAGATATTTTCTCCAGCGTACGAGTAGCTTTAAGTCTTTTAAGTTTACATAATGGTTATTTAGCATTTCTTGTAATTGCCTTACCAAGCCAGTTTATACATAAAGAAAGTTATTGCATCTCAATTAAACTTCGCTATCAATCTCACCAACAAAATATATCTGTAAGAACTGTGGTTTATTCTGTGATGGCGGAAACAAACTTCCAATCAAATGATACACCTAGCCTTGCATTCTGAATGTAGGCATAAAACCATCCTGTATTATCTTTTTAGCTCCAAATGACGTCATTAGAAAACAACTATTTGGTCCTTACATTTAAATGAAATTAGCGTTGTGTCGTAAAGACCACTTTGATCTGAAATATCTGCTCTTCGGTTGAGAATTCAAAATTCAAATTTATAAATTAATTTAGCTGGTACATTTGAGCTTTGAAAACAGTCATTTATTTGTTTTTTCCTCATTATTTTTTTCTTTGGCGTCGCTTATTACCGCACAATGGAGAAAATGAAATATCGGTATATTTACGAATACGAGTTCTACCGTGGCACCAGTGCTGCAAAAACAGCTCGAAGGATTAATGATGGGTACGCGCTGGTGTCGCAAAAGAAAGCACGGTACGTTTTTGGTTTCAACATTTTTGTTCTGGAAATTTCGAACTTCAAAACCAATCCCGTGGACGGCCGGAGACCAAAGTGGAAAATGAAGAAGTAAAGGCTATTGTGGAGGCGGATCCATCACAAAGCACTTCAGAGATAGCTGCAGTCTTAGGGGTAAGTGATAAAACTGTATTAATCCACTTGTAACAAATTGGGAAAGTAAAAAAAACTTGCAAATACGCATCGACTGCTGTGTTACTTTGCTCAACCGACACAATAATGAAGGGATTTTAAATCGAATCATTACTTGTGATAAAAAGTAGATACTGTAAGATAATCGGAAGTGCTCGTCGCAATGGCTGAACCCTGGAGACCCAGTCAAATCCTGCCCTAAACGAAAATTGACTCGGAACAAGTTACTTGTGAGTGTTTGGTGGACTAGCGCCGGTGTCGTTCACAGCTTTCTAAAATCTGCCCAAACGATTACGGCAGATATGTATTGTCAGCAACTGCAAACCATGAAGGAAGAACTAGCTGCTAAACAACCGAAATTAGTCAATCGCTCTAGGTCACTGCTGCTTCACGACAACGCAAGACCACACACTGCACAACAAACAATCACTAAGTTAGATGAGCCACCATTGGAATGTCTGCGACATCCACCGTACTCCCCGGACCTAGCTCCAACAGATTACCATTTTTCCGGAATTTGGAGAACTTCTTACAAGAAAAAAAATTCAACTCCGATGCGGCAGTCGAAACCGCCTTCAAAGAGTATATTGATTCTCGCCCCCATGGTTTTTTTTTAGTAAAGGGATCAATGAACTACCTATGAGATGGCAAAAGAGCATAGATAACAACGGTGCATACTTTGATTAATTAAATATATTTTACAAAAAAAAAACTGCCTTATATTCCTCCCGTACAAAACGCCAATTTTATATGTAAGGACCTAATATTATAATTCCGTATGCGCGTGTAATGAAGTAATCATGCTCAGGGTTTTTTATCAAACAGTAAATAAGATCTGGAAGCTTTTGCAAAGGTTCGAGCTGGATCTTTCCTGAATCGCTGCACATTCCCACAGATTCATCCTTGTACTTGAGAGTTTTACACCACTTGCATTCGATGTTCATAGGACCCAAAACAACAGTATTATCACTATCGTACGCTATATTACTGTCATAACTCAGTCCAGAAAAGGCTTTAGAATTCAATGTTTTAGACATCTTTCAACTTGCTGTCCTCATGATTTTGTTCATATCGTAACTGTGCTACTCTGTACGCTTTAAGGTGTTTGCGCTGATATTTACTTACAGCCTGCTTATGTACTTCAGGGTGTTCACGCTGATAATCAACAACTGTGAACTTTCCGGCCTTTATTCTGATAACTAGCATGTTTACGATGGTTAGAAGGTTTATTTTGACTACATTTTTTCTTGCATCCTTAAGTTGAAATTTTCTGACCACATTGGCAAATAGCTCTGCGTTTCTTCGCTTTTTTTGCGATTTATTTGTCTAACTAATTTCATTTTGGACTGACTCTTGGGCAGTGAATTTTAGAAATTCTACGTAATTATTCGTGGAAATAGAAGAAATTAAATCTGACTCACATTCAAATTCAATAAATGTATAAAGTAGGCGAATGAAAGTATTGCACAACATTAGAAATTGGTGAAGGTTTCGTTATTTCGTTATTTTTTTTTTTCAAAATATTATGGCAGGCATAGTGACGCACGACAGTGGTGCGTCACTATACCTGCCATAATGTTTGTAAGTGCGACAGAGAGCGCAACAGGCGGCGTCCTATTTGCCCATTTTATTGCACCGCGGGCATCGAGTGTTACTATTAGTATAGTTGATTGGACGGTATATAGAGAGCCAAGAGGATAAAAATAGATTGAAGTAATCTAAGCTGGCGTCAATGTCGACGAAATAATAAAAACACCTTAATGCTTATTGAGACTGGGCTTAAAATATTTATTTAAATAAAATAACGTGTTTGGTTTTTTTATGATATCTGACTTAATGAGAACACATTTTACAAGACGGGAAGTGAATGTGGTTTGCTACATCTATCATCGGAGAACAATTATATCAGATATGCATTGTCGTCCCTGAAAATTAGGATGGTATGCTTGATTATCAGTAAGAAACACTTTCGTTGTTATAGTTCCTCTGTAACTTTAGTTTTACAAAAAAATTACTCACTCCGGGTAGGGCAAGAAGTAGGCGTTCAAGTTTTGAATGTATGTATGGAGGGCAGGAATGATTAAGGCTATCACAAACATCACCGATAATGCTGCTTTTCTAGCATATTCAGTCTGAACCAGTATTAATAATACGAGTCCAAAGATGTACAACTGCATATCCGCTGCAAGGTACCTAAAATTAATTAACATAATCAACGTAAACATTGTGAAATGCCTTTGACTTGTTTACCTTAAAAAGTTGTAAGTGCTAAACAATTTATTATACAACTCTGTCACTTAAAATCCCGCTGTGTTGCGAGACATAATACTATTTTTTTTTATAGGAGAGGGAGCAAACTAGCATACGGCTCACCTAATGGTAAGTGACTACCGCCGCCTATGAACAACTGCAACACCAAGGGAATTGCAGATACATTACTGGCCTTTAAAAAAGGAGTAAATTCTTTTCTTGAAGGTCCCTAAGTCGTATGGATCCAGAAAAATCGCCGGTGGTAAATTATTCCACAGAGAGGTCGTACACGGAAGAAAACTCCTTGTCAATCGTACATTGGTTGACCGCCAAGAATTCAGATGGTGTGGATGGTATCAGGAGTTTCGCTGCAATGTGTGTTCGTTAAATTTGGCGTCTGGGATTACTCCGAACAATACCTCAGAGCACTCCCCGTTCTAAATGCGAAAGAAAACGCAAAGGGATGCAACATCTCTTCGCAGTGCCAGTGAAATCGAGCCGATCAGAAAGGACTCGGTCGTCAACGATTCGTGGCGCTCTGCGCTGCATGCGGTCAAGTGGAAGGATCTGGCACTGTGGAGCTCCAGCCCAGAGATGGGGACAGTATTCCATGTGGCATTCTCTTCCAAGTGACTACAAAACTGCACACCACTCGATATGTCGATGCCAAGGATTCCAATACTGGCTGAGGCAACAAGGGGAGTACCTTGAAACTGAGGAGATACGACAAAGGGGTTCTCTTTAGCGGTAAATGCGCAAACTTGTGTCTTCTGAGGATTAAACTGGACTAGATTTAGTCGCCTCCAATCCAAAACTTTGTTCAGCAAAAACTCGACTTCGGACACAAGTTTGTTGCGGTTTCTATAAACTCATTTAAATTTTGTTAAATTTTTGAGACATGCAGGATACCTCATACTGTTTTTTTTTTATAATTAGCACGTGGTAGGGCAGTAATAAAAAAAAATATCTCACTCGCTCGCGCTCAACCAGCAATGTAAACATTCGTTTATTTTTTGTTTCTTACAATTTAGTTGACTTAACATATCATTGGTTTTTTTTTATTTCTCAGACATATAAGTTTTCCCGTTATTTTTCTTTCATTGCCAGTGTCACCAACATCAGCTCTTTACTCAACTCAGGGACGGTACTTTTCTCATCGAACTCTGGCAAGTAGTGACCTAGCTGGCTATTATTGTAAAATTATTTTTAGTCTAGCTATGTCTGAGAAATTTAAAAATATTATATAATTATTATTTTTCTTACTAGTCCGCTGCTACTACTTTACAATTAAATTAATTTAGCGTTATTTGTTACTATTTCCAGCCCTTCCTCGTGCGATATAATAGATTTTATTACGAAAAAATACGTACCAAGCATGTACCATGCATAAGGAGTTATCTATGTAGTTGTTTATATAGATTAAATGCAGCCAACCGTCTCGACGGCAGTCTTGAACTTCACTGTTTACTACTTGCTGAAATTGAACATGAAAATCGGGTTAAACTTTCAGATAATGTTGAAAAGCACGTATGTCGAGATATGGAGGTGAAAAAACGCTAACTTTCAGACTAACAAAAGTAACTAGTAACATACCGTTTACTGAGAATATCTTAACAGGAATCTTATTAACGGAATCCTCCTTTCTCATGTTTATATATATTATTATTTATTTTAATTTTATTACTATTATTTTTTATTACTATTATAAAGAGGAAAGATTTGTTTGTTTGTTTGAATTGAATAGGCTCCGAAACTACTGGACCGATTTGAAAAATTCTTTCACCATTAGAATCCTACATTATCCCTGATGAACATAGGCTATATAATATTTTCAAAAAGTTAGGGATCCGTATGAAAAATTCGTTAATGTAACCCAAGGTGTGAAAAAAATACCAAAAAGAATCTTTATATCGCGTACGCTACGGAAACTATTGATTCAGTTTTATAGAGGATATCAATATCTACAAAAAAATCTGCGATACCATATGTTTAACTATTACAATTATGTCACAATAACTACTTTTTCATAAAAATAACATAAAATGTGAAATAGTAACGCCGGTACAAACTAGGCCACATTATCCGTATCAGTACCTGTATCATGCATAACCACCAATTACGTTAACCATGTAATTTTAGTAACATATTTCACTTTTTAAATCTTTGTTAATTCTGCAACCGTTCGTCGTGATGTCTCTCTTGAAGTTCGCATGTCGCAAGGCGCAGACGCGTGATATACACGGGTGAAACCGCGGGGCACAGCTAGTGTTTAGTGATATATTTATGCTTTATTGCACCATAGATTTTGTACAAAAGGCGAGCTTAAAGCTACATGGTATTCTCTATTATTTTTTTCTTTTTTCTCTATCTTCTCATATTGCGGAGTAAGAAGAGTTGTTTTTTTTTTAGATTTTTTTTTATTAGTGTAGTACTACGAACATAGCACACTACAATCCTGAAACACACCTCTACCGCTTCTTTTTCATTGATCTACTTATTTTAGGAATAATACTAGACGAGCATAAACCTGCAATAGGCAGTAGGATAGTTATAGTTTGTAAATTTAGTACACAAGTATTACTTCTATTAAGTTCTGTTCGCCTGATTCTATTATTAAAAAATATATAATATTACGCCTGTGCTTGCGCACATACGATCTCAGGCAATTGCTGTTCCTGAATTCCAAAATTCTTTTGTAAATAATGGCTAGTCTCCGATGAGACTGGCAGCCGTGTCTGAATAAATTACGCTCTCCAACACCGTCGTGTGACAGATTTGCACATACTCATGTGGTACTCTTCTATGGCATCATCATGTGGGAAAACTTGTAATGTAAATAATTTAAAATTAAAAATTTTGTACAGCCGACTTCAATATAAGTTATTTAAGAATAACTTAAAAAACTATTGGTCTGACCTTGATCAAATTCATATGGGACCACACGAGAAGTACCAGCTTTCAAATAAAAAAAGAATCATCGAAATCGGTTCACCCAGAAAAAAGTTCTGAGGTAACACACATAAAAAAAAAAAAAAAAAACGAAAAAAAAAAACATACAGTCGAATTGAGTACCGGCTCCTTTTTGGAAGTCGGCAGAAAAATAATTATATTATAAATGAAATGTCTACGAATACTAACGAATTTAGACCAAATGGAAACCATCATGTAAACCTCACTTCGTTAATCATAAAATACTGACACTTGCGTCTATCTACATCCTCGAGTCTTGTAAATTCGTCAGGAAACACCAAAAAATCTACTCACCTATTACAATAAATAACCTTCTCCAAGTGAATATTAGCCCCCACTTTGTATCAATAAAGATTAATAATATAATTTAAACTTCAAAACATTGCTTATTAGTAAATTATATTATATTTTAAATGAATATTTGACGATTAATAATGACAAACAAAGAGTATTTCGACTACATTGTATTTCTAATTTAACAAATGTTTATGATAAGATATTTTATAATTTATGTTTAAAAGTAAGATAACTCAAAATTAGTTAGCCCTGTAGTAATGATATGCCTTGCAGATGCACGTTTTGTGTTATTTTGTAATGTGATATTGAATAACTAAATTGATTTGGAAAGTATGAAAAACATTGTATTAAGTATCACAACCCAAACTTTTTTATTCAATATAGATTATAAATAATACTTATTGAAAGTCACTTTTTTGTTTAATTACCACTAGTTCAAAAAAAACTTGAACAAAAACAAAATGAAATAAATAAAGAAGGTACAATAAGCGGTATTATAGTCTGGAAGCACTTTCATTCCGACAACATTATTATGCAATTATTTATTCACAACGAATGGTAAGAAGGATGGTATATGTATATAAATTAAACAATAAAGTTTAAAAAAAAAAGTGGAAACATCAGATAATGATAGTAGAGAAAAATAGGATAGATAAAATAAAGGACAAAAAGTATAATGAAAAATATTAGAGTTCCGAGTAATAAGCATTGAATAGATTTTTGAATAGTAATGAAATTTAGCACGGCGTATGTGTAGAGACAAGGAGTTCTACAATTGTACAGCTGTAATATATATTGATTTATTGGTAACGGAGGATGATCATATTCATTCCAAAATATGAGAAAGTTTCCACGTGATAGCTTGAGCTCTCCGTATAATGCGATCTCATAATAAAGTGTAGGTTATGAATGGCTGGATGTTACAACTTGGACGCGGATAAAACCGCGGTACAAAGGCTAGAGAGTATATATTTATAACTTATTTTATACATACATCCCACAGAGGTCCAGATCCAAAGAGTCTTAGCCACGTCGACGATATCGCAAGCACGACTGCATAAGATGGAGATAACCTGCCGATTATAATATACATTTTTTATAATTTTTAGTTGCTATCAGGAAGATGCAGCTGCCCATTTCCTGTTTCAGTTTCCCTCTGTCGCCTCTTACGACGCCTAATGTATGTTTACAAAACAAAGATAGTTTAAGTAAAAAAAAATAATAATAATTTATACACTAGGAACAAACACAAGCTAGTGATACCAGTCTCTCGACTCCACAGAGTCAGTAATTCATTCTTGGGGCAATGTATACGCTATTACAACAAAGTCCCAGAAAATATACAAGGGCTCCCTATTACCAAGTTTAAATATTTAATTAAACAAAAACTGTATAAAAAGGGTTATAATAGTATTAATGAATACATGGTTGATAATAACCCCTCGGAATGAGGTGGTCGCTTCCAAGCTGTTTCTAAAATACATTTTGTCAATAGTTTGTACACATTTATATGTATTGTAAGATTTATTTATTTTTAAATCCCACAAGACAGTCCCCAGTACTCGCCATCCTGATACTCTGCTTCGTGTGCTCTTCCCACTGTTTGGGCCCTGTCGCTGTAGAGTGGCGAATGCGCGTTGCTATCAATTCCGATGACAACGCGCTTGCCCTTTAGCTGGTCAATAACGGTCTCTAGATGTTGCAGATGTTGGTCAATGGAATTGCTGTACTTAAAGTACGCAGAGATAAGGTAGAGACCGTACTTATTCATATGGCAAACCACGCAGTGGGAGTTACTTAGATAGGGCAGTCCCGCCACACCTATGTATTCTCGTGGGATCGAAATCACTACCTGGGGCTCCGCGCCAAACTAGATGAAATCTTCTGACCGGGCCCACTGCTCTTGGACAAGGACAATTTCCAGGCAAAACTACACGCCATTGCAGGCAGCTCCTTCATGGCTACCTCACCCCGCCCCAGGTTAAGCTGCCCAATATTCAGATGGTCCACCTTACCCACCCATACTGCGTGGGGTTTATGGCCCTCTATTCCATGTATACCCTAGCTGGGCAGGTCTTCGCCATCGTGGCATGGGTCTTCGCCCCAGGAATGCCAAACCTACGACAAGTACCACATCATGGCTCAGGGGACTTGCATTACTCTTTGCTGTGCCCCTCTTCCATGCAACTGCCACATGTGGCTTCCTTTGCCCTGCAGTACTTGGCTGGATGTCCATATTGTTAGCATTTTTGGCAGCAGGTGGCGTAAAAAATAAAGTCACAGACGCGCCAGGTCTCAAAATCGCACTCAGGTATATTTCAAGCAACATTACATCCCATTCCGGAAATAGCGATTCCATGGTACGCTGCACATTGACGCGACCAGGAAACTCAGCGGTAAGTATGATAGAAAGGAATACGTCTTCGTCATCATCGATGCATTTATAAAGTACGTATTGTTTCGCCATACGTTGCAAATTGCCTCCTCTAGCAGCACTAAGGCTCTAAAAGACTGCATTTTGCTCTTTGGTGCAACAAATCGTGTTACTACGGATCAAAGGCGTTGCTTCGCCAGCAGAGACTTTGAAAAATACTATGAATCTGTAAATATAATGCTCCAATTAATTGCGGCAAGTATCTCACGAGCTACCTGTCGCAATTAGCAGGTTAAACGGGTAGTGAGCATCCTGTAGAAAAGGCTTACGGCCACAGAGACTAGCAAACGTTCATGGCAAGACGCTCTCTAGTCCACTGAAGTTGTTCATAGGTAAAGTCGCTAGACCTGTAGAGATAACGATGAATGGCGATGAGTAACTAGACGTGAATTTCGACAATATCAGAGCCGAAGCAATACGGAACATGTAAAGAGCCTCTGCTGAAGACAAAGTCCAATTCGACAGCATCAAGGCCGAGGTAAATCCATTCTCTGTTGGAGATTAAGTTTTCTTGCAGAACGACGAACGTAGTCAAACCAAGCTTAACGCAAAATACAAGAGTCTTTTAAAATCGCGGAAGTTCTGGAAGATGATCTAAATTCCAACCAAACGTACAAGTACGCACATCATAGATTACCCCAGATACAGACAGTACTTGTGTACAATGATATTGATTTTGACCAGTAAAACGTTTTATTAACTACCGATCAGCACTGCCTTTAGTTTCGTTCGGTTTTGACTCACAATATCATGACTGCGCTGGCTATCGGATACCGATTGGAGGTTATCTTGAGCTATCAAAAACCGTTTGCAGGTCTTGAGCTATCAGATACCTGATACAGTCAAAACTGTAGACCGAATGTATCAGGATCGTTTCCGAGATACTAAAAATTTTGAGTGCGATTGAGAACTCCTATGGGCAGCTGTGCAGATCGTCGTTGGAGCCATACGCAAGTATGGATAACGATCCGAGAGAATGTCTTATCCGATACTATTCCGATAATATAACTTGGAGATAAGAATGGTTTTCCAGTACTTTAAAAACAGCAAGTCCCTCGGTGAGGATGTAATTACAGAATAGCTTCTGAAAGCGAGTGGAAAACCGGTACTCAAAGTCAAGTCCTTCAGAAGCTTGTTAATGCCATTATCTATGGTGACACTACTCCGTAGGCGTGGAGATGAAGTACTTCTTGTTCTTCAAAAAGGGTCGATAATACTCTCTTGAAGAATTATAGACCAATTTTGCTTCTGAGCCGAGTCTACGTACTGTTTTCGAGAGACGTTACGAATCGTCTCGCACGCAGACTCGATGACTTCCAGCGTCCGAAACAAGTCGGTTTCCAAAATAGCTTTAGCACCAAAAACCACAAACATACCCTTCGGCAAATTGTACAAAACACCTTGGAGTACAATTTGCCACTATGTCTTACGTATGTGGACTATAAAAAAGCCTTTGATTTCGTCGAAATTTGGGTGGTGTCGCAGTCCCTTCAGCAGTTCCAAGTTGACTGTCGGTATATCGAAGTGCTGAAATATTTGTACAACACAGGGCTACGATGGCTATCCGAGTGTAGAACCAGAGTACGAAACCTATGCAATTTCAGAGAGGTGTAAAAGGGTGACGTTATATCCACGAAACTCTTCACCGCTGCATTGGAAGATGTTTTCAGCCTACTGGACTTGAAAGGATACGGTATGAACCACAATGGCTAGTACATCTGCCACCTTTGATTTGCCGATGATATATATAGTTATTATGGCAAAATTATGGGGAATCTAAGCACTATGGTCAATGACCTCAATAGTGCTTCCCAACAGATTGGTCTTAAGATGAACATGTGCAAAACAAAGATCATGTGTAACATCTAAGTCACACCTATAGGGGTAGTAATTGGGAGCAATAAGATCGAAGTTGTTGATGAGTGTGTTGACCTCGGACAAATAGTCCGACAATGACGACGACGACGACTACGTCGATGTAAGTCCACTTCGACTGCGAGATCCTACTCGGCTGGAAAGCGTTTGGGAAATTACGACATATCTTCTCGTCAGGTATACGTCATAACTTGAAGACGAAAGTGCACTACCAGTGCGTGATGCTTGTGATGACTTATGGAACTGAGATGTAGTCGTTCACTGCTGGTTGGTGCTTTGTTGTATTCCTTGGGGTAGATCTATGTTCAGCAATGGACTTGTGAAGGGCTGTAATGTAATGATGTAGATAAATTTAATTTTGTACTCCATTGTTCTTTTGATGTTGTTGGAGATATTTGTTTTGATACAAATTGTGAAATTTAACTCCTTGTAAAGTTTGAAAATTACGGTTCGTTTATTTTTGGTCAAGTTGACCGAGCGAATGCACTTTTGCAGGCGACCCTTTTCCTCTTTGCACGTGTGAGACGTGTGAGACATCAAGATGGCCGTGTCGAAACGTGACCACACTGTCGCCGCGTCCTGCAGCAATCGATAACTTTAGTTTATATTTGGTGACAGTTTTGTTCAATCCACGTTGTCATATTTTTTTTATAGAAGAGGGGGCAAACGAGCATGCTGCTCACCTGATGGTAAGTGACAACCGCCGCCCATGAACAACCGTAACACGAGGGAAATTGCAGATTCGTTGCCGGCCATTTAGAAAGGTGTAAGCTCTTTTCTTGAAGGGCCCTAAGTCGTATCGGTCCGAAAAAATCGCCGGTGGTAAACAAATCCACAGAGAAGTTGTGTACGAGTAAGAGAACTCCTAGTAAAATGCACAGTCGTGAATAGCCAAGCATCCAGATGGTGAGGATGGTATCGTGAATTTTGACGCGACGTGCGTTCGTGAAATTTGGTGGCTGGAATTTATCTAAACAATTCCTCAGAGCACTCCCCGTGGTAAATTCGATAGAGAATGTAAAGAGATGCAACATCCCTACGCAGTGCCAGTGTATCGAGCCGATCAGAAAGAACTCGGTCGTCGACGATTCGAACCGCTCTGCGCTCGATGCGGTCAAGTGGAAGGAGCTGGTACTGGGGAGCCCCGGCCCCCAGTTGATGAATGAATGAATGAGAACAGTATTCCATGTGAGGTCGAACTTGCACTTTGTAAAGTTGCAAGAGATGTGCCGGCATGAAATACTGTCTCGCTCTACTGAGCACGCCAAGCTTTTTAGAAGCCAATTTGGCCTTTCCTTCCAAGTGACCACGAAACTGCACACTATTCGATATGTCGACGCCAAGGATTCCGATGCTAGCTGAGGCAGCAAGGGGAGTGCCTTGAAACTGAGGAGATACGACAAAGGGGTTCTTTTTAGCGGTAAAGCTTTTTAGTGAGATGATGACTAGTAAGGGCTAGATTTTCCAGTCCAACTCATCATCTAATTGCGTATGTGCGTATGTGTGTGAATCCCTAAATATTCTGACAGTGTACCTATTCATGTCAGGATGAACGAGCGGATGAATTGGTGTTTGTTACAGGAATGCATGAAGATACACGCCCGAGGATGGTCGTACGTCAGGATTGCCGTTTCAGAGCATATATTAAATACCGGTTGAATCGAGTGAGCGACAGGTTGCGTCACTTTAGCGTAGCATTATATCGATGATAGCGTGGTGGAATTGAGGTTGTATCGAGAAACCTCAACTCGTTTGTACAGTAAAGTTCACTGTAGGTGCCGTTCGCGAGAGATTTCGCTTGAGTTATTCTACGAGTGAAGTCATTCAAGAGTGCTAAGATAGTGTCGTGGTTCTGTTCGTTATTGCAATTCTTCTAATGCAAACAAGAAGGATGGTGCTGCTCTGTGTTGCACTGAGAGAAGTAGTGTAGCTGTTGGTTTGCATACTTTGGTGTTATCATGTAATTACGTTCCTCAGGTTGCACTGGTGTGTGATTGTGGCGAAGACGTGTTACGGTGTGGTCGAACTGTAATTGCTTTATACTGAATGTAAAATGCTTTAGCTGTCTTATTACTGATAATAATTAATTGCGTAAGCAAGAGAGCAAGTTGAACATCCGCTTTCACACTTTTATTATTTTTAACAACCTTTAACCTTTCCTGAAGTATTTCCGAGATCAGAAGTAGGAACGTCTGCGTAATTTTCTAGATATAGGTGAGGTGCATAACGGGTGCAGAATACTCTTGCACTTAGATAAACTGATAGCTGTATATTGAATTATATTTTAATAGTAATATATTGACATTTACAGAAGTCAATGTCAATATATTGCTATTGGAATAATTCTGTATAGGTATGATCGTAATATATGATTTAGATCTTTAGGACCTTAATGAATCTTATTTTCAAATTTTATTTCTTTTTTTAAAAAACGTTACCCCCATACTAGGATATTATACTGTATCGTAGAGGCAGTTTACAAACATAAATTGCACAAGGACAAACATCCAGACCCGGAACAATTATTTGTAGGCCATACAAATACTTGTTCCGTGCGGGATTCGAACCCGCGGCCCCCAGCACATCAACTCATTGCTAAGCCACTGCGCCACGGAGCCTGGCTTTCATCATTTGTGCCACAAAGAAAATAAAATAGTAATAATTATGTACAAAATAATATTAAATATAGTTTCTCATCAACATCTATAATATTATCATTGATAAAATCTATTTCTTGCCTACCTTAGCCATCTCATTATTATTCCTTTGGGTATCATTTTCCAATTCAGATCTTTCTTCTCTGACCAAATTTGTAAGTAGTAGGCTAGCAAGCATCCGGAAATGATGAAGAACGTTTGCACAAGTATGGTACCGTATAAAAAGATGTGGTATAAAGTATTGTGGTACATCTGCAAAATGATACAAGGGATAAAAAATATTTTTTACATTGACCATTCCACACTTTTGACACCATTAAAAAAGTTTAACAATTTTAAGGTTACGACCTCAAAGGTGTCTGGCCGGTCTTAACCTTTCCCAATTGATAGTGTTAAAAGTTAGGATAGGTTTCAATATTAACTTGATATGACAAATATATTATATGAAATAAAATCTTTGCAATAGGCCTTTGCTGATTATAGGCCTCCTTCAAGAAATACTAAAAACATGGACGATATTTGTAGATGCAGATCTATTGACTTCTTGTATGTCTTAATAGGTCGACTGGTGAAGGACTACGCTTGCATTGTACGATGAAGTGAGATAGTAGCGTTAATACTGCTATATGGTGAGTCAAAGAACCGGAAACATCTTTTTACTAATTTTTTATCGAGGATAGACATAGGTGTCAATCAAGTCAAGTCAAATAGTATCAACTTATTATCAGGTAGATTGTATGCTGGCTTGTCAACCTCACTGTTCTATAAACTACGACCTTAAATAAAAAGTTCAAAGATTAAAAAATTGCACACAAGCTTCAGAACTCCGTGCTAATATTCCTTTTGGTTTTTGAAGTCGACTTTTAATTTTTATCAAAAGTTTTATTTCGAGACCCTCTTCAATGGATTGAGGAATATCACAAGCTTGAATAAATTTGAATGAGAATGGAACTGAGAACCTCGTCTTTTTTGGTCTTAGGCTATATAATTAAATATCTTCAATAATTATTATTGTCATTGTGTCTTACTTATTAATATGTATCCTTATGTATATGTCATAGTCAAAACTCATAAGCAGTCAAAACCACTTTTGACTGCAAAAATCATGCAAAAATAGTTTTCACTGATGCCCTTAGTTAAAAATAGTTTTGACTGATGTTTGTAGTCAAAAGTGGTTTTAACCAACGTACTTAGGCAAAAGTGGTGTTGTCTGATTTAAACTTCAGATTGGTCAACACTCGCAATATCAGTAACAGTAGGATAAGGTGCGGCTGGCTAAATCCGCGTACATTATAATGATATAAAATATAATATTGAAGAAATTGAATTTTTTTGTTTCAGAAATTCAAAAAGTATAAGTCAAAAGAAGTTTTGACTAACATTATTGGTCAGAACAACTTTAACCGATGTAAGTTGGTCAAAATCACTATTACCCAGTTTTTTTGCAGTTAAAAATAGATTAGACCAACGGCCTTAGTCAAAACTACTTTTGACTGTAAAATCAGTTAAAAGAGGTTTCAACAAACCTCCTTAGTCAAAATTACTTTTGCCTGATTTTTCACAGTCTAAAATGGTTTTGACCGGTTATGAGTTTTGACTGTAACATATATAATAGTTACAGTGTAGTTGCAGTGAAAGTATATCCACTACTCCATATTATCTTTTAGGTAACGTAAGAGGGGAGACGGGACAGAGGGAAACAAATCAAGAGATGGGCAGTAGGTGTCTCACGACATTCACGGGGTATGGATATTCTAACACCGCCACTACACGATTTCTTGTCCTTCATCTATAAAAAAAAGGTAGTACTTACGTCTTCCAGAAAGAGTGTATTGTCTGAAGCGACCATAAATGGAAGTAAGGCGTGTTCCGTTATAACTAAGAATATTGTGATTGCTCTGAAAAATAACGATTTAATAAAACTCTTCCTAACTGTTAATCTGAAGTCTAGCTGCCTCTAAAATTATTCTACGTATTGTTTTAAGTGTTTCACCCCGACCCCTTTTATTTAATTGAATATTAATGCATATAAAACAGTAGCGTTACATCGCAATCTCGTAGCTGTGTTTTCTATAGTCCTATAGTGCATACCATTTGAGTTATCAAGGGTGACAACGCATCTGCCTTTTGATTCATAATCGACGACCCATGTACAAGTCTATGGGCCACATCATCCACTTACCTGCAAGTAGATTTTGTGCTCGTTTTTTCCCTTATTCTATAAGAAATTCTTTACAAAACCAGTTACGAGCAAATTATGTGGATGTACATTCTCTAAGATTTCATAATGTGAATTTCATGACGAATGTGACGTTTTCAGATTAAAGTCCTATGCAACTATAATGGGCTTTATTCACGTTAAGAAAAAAAAGATGGAATAGGTAAACGAAATTGAAGCCTATAGCATAAGTATTTTTGGGTTTTATCTTTTTAAAAGTAAGCTTTTAATTTTAAAACAATAATGAAGCGATTAAATGTTTTTTTAAGTTTCAATGAATTTATGACGGCCTTGAACTTTAAGCTAGGTAAGAAAATTTACATTAAATGTAGTAATAAACTTATAAATAAATCAATTTCACAAAATATCAATGCTTATTATGGGCCGCTCTCGTAACCATGTGCCATTCCTGACGTCAGCAATTAAAACAAGTAAAATTAAACTCTATAAAGGTGTTGGCGTAAATACAAATAAATATTTTGTAACTGATATTGACAACGCTTATTACATGAATCAGCCAAGTATAAACAGGCGTATATACTCATCGTTATTTGTATGTACTATTTGTTATATTATAATTAATAAAAGTGCATATAAAACAACGCCTCAGTTGTGAACCCTTTATTCTTTTTCTACCTCCATACTAATTACAATATGATACTATATATACAGGTGGCCGAAGAAGTTACCTCCAAAAATAAAATTTAGATACCTTATATTGAGGAGTATCCGAATAAACCCCATGTATGTTCCGCGATTCTTAGATGTTTATGAGGTTTATCAAGTGTAAATTATGAAAAAAATATAAATTATTTTATATTTTTTTCATAATTTACACTTGACAATTTGGTTTAAATTATTATCTTTTTCTATTGGACGTTTATGATTTATTTGTTTTTTTTTAATTCATTATAATCAGATACTACCTTAAAAATTATGGTTCACCTAAACCTTATAAAACATGACTGAATTTAAGTCGAAAGTTCAAAATTACTGTCCGAGCATTAGTCACAAAAGTTCGACTCATAAATAAATAATTATCGTGCCAACGGCTTCTAAGTACTCGTATTTCTAAAAACTGCTATAGACTTTCAACAACAGAAACCATTAAAAAGAACTGGACCTTAATAGGGATTTATTTTCTGTAATAATTTTTTTTTAAATAATATTTTAAAATTTTTATTTAAAATTAATTCAGATCAAGATGCAGATTATAATTAAGAATATACTTAATGGATTACAATAAATAAATTTAAATGAATAATATTTTTTAATAAATATTTGAAGGTGGATTTAAATGTAACTTTAATTAATTTATTAAAATGATTTTATATTAAAACATGCCTTCGAAGTAAAAATGAGAACTAGAAAAAATTAATTGTATTTAAATTTTCTTTTTTTCTTTAAATTAGGATTACTTTTGACAAAATTCATAAAAACACAGTTGATTGTGATAAAATAAATTTATTTACAATAGATTCCATTATCTGGCGACGGTTTTTTAAGAATATCTAATTAAGGGCAAAATATGCAAGATTTTATAACCTTCTCAACTTAACGGGCAATAAACCGAAAGAATTTGAAAATTTAAGAAGATAATAGATGAAATGGTTTATGACAGGGTCCAAATAGTAAATATTCGATAGTGAAAGGGATAAAGGCAGGGAAATAACAATTCATGATAGACTGAAAGCATTAGATAATTTATAGAATTCTAGGATTTTGCAACAATACCTATATGCAAAATGAGGAATTAGTAGTTTAGAGTTAGTTCATTCTAGAATGCCAGAAAAGTCGGTTGATTGGTATATGGCAGACAGTTGAGTTGTGTTGTGTTTTTATTTTACTGTAGTGTTACACTAGTTACTTGGAAGTGTTTGTGATGAGCTCCACATTAAGTTAATATGCAGAAATGCATTACTTTACGGAGATGCACAGGGCAAGGGACGTGAAGTAACAAGACTGTATCAGGAACAACTTCAATGCCAATGAGGACCGCAACCAGATTGATATCCCGACCATCGTGTTTTCATTTACACGCACAATACTTTAATTGCAGGCCACATTCTTAGTCAAAATGGCCGTCGTTAAGGAATTTCCAGAGCTAATCGGGATTGAAAAGAAATAGTGCTAGAAGAAATGCGTCGGGATCCGTCAACAAGTACGATAACTATGGCTTTGTAGACTGAACATCCCAAGATCGTCTATCTAAGACATACTTCATGAAGGATACCACGCGAATCATATTCAGCGAGTCCAGGCTTTGCGGCCTATGGATTATCAATTAAGGGTTGATTTTTGCCAAACAGTGTTGAAAAATGAGCAAGAGGATTCCGGATTTTTCAATAAAATTTTGTGGACCGACGAGTCACGATTCGCGCTAACAGGAATAATAAACATTCATAATTATCACGTCTGGGCAATCAAAAATCCACACGAAACGGGACCTTCAAACTTTCAACATCGTTTTAGTGCAAACTCGTGGTCCGGCATCCTCAACGGTGAACTAGTTGGGCCGTTTGAACTGCTGTCCAGACTTCATGGAGTAATGTACAATTTTTTTTTCTGGAAACGAGCTGCCATTGTTGCTGGAAGATGAGTGGAAAATCTCGAACTAAGACAAAGCATGGTGTTTCAAAACGATGGCGCCCCATGTCACTACGGAGCTCCAGTGCGCAATTATCTGAACCAAAAATACCCTAATAGGTGGATCGGACGAAGCGGACCAATTAGCTGGCCTCCACGCTTTCCTGACCTTAACCCCATAGATTTTTAGGTTTGGGGTTATTATAAGGAAATAGTCTACGTCCAAGAAGCTTCTAGTGAAGATGAGTTGAGGGGGAAAATTCAAGAAGCTAGAAATGTAGTAAGGGGCAACAGTGAAGCTTTTAGGCGATTAAAACAAAATTTCTTGCGTTGCGCGGGTTCCCGCCTTGTCGTGGCGGGGGGGCTTAGTAGCCGTGGCTTGGTCACCCACGGTGAACAAAGAGGAACCCCTTGGCTGGCCCGTGGTGTAGGGCCGGCCCGAGGTGGCCACTCCGAGTGGGCTTGACGAGCCCACTTCGGATGTGTGTCGGTGGGCTGCGGTGAGAGGGGTGTCCGCTCCCTCTACCGCTGCAGCCGAGGTGAAGTCGCGGAGGAAGAGGAGTGTTGGTATGGCGAAGCGCCACTCGCCCTATCCTTCGCGACTCTGACGGGGCCGCACCGTTAAATGATGCGGTGGTGGTGGGGCTGCGGGGGGAGAGGAGTGTCGGTATTGCGAGGCGCCGCTCTTCCTACCCTCCGCAGCCGATTCTTGGTTGGCGACGGAGCTATAGACCAGATCCGCCGCTGGGGTCAGGAAGGCTTGTGTTTCTGAGTGCTAGTTTTTCCTGGCCCCATGGCCTTCGCGCATCGGACACGGGGGCGTCTGTTGCGCATGTTAAGTTGGAGGCTGAGGAGGAGGGCGCGCCATGTGTTCTGGTGCGCCTTACCTGAGAAGGAGATGGGGGAGGAGTAGTCCTCTCCCGAGGAGGGGCCGCCATGGGCCAGCGCAGGTGGGGCCGCGGATGTGTGCTTAAGCGTTCCCGTGGCCCTGCCAAAATGCGACGAGGGTGGAACACCATGGGGTTTTAGTCGGTGCGAGTCCGACATAACCCGTCCTTGCCCCCGCGAGGCGGCTATGCGTAGGCATTTCCAAATGTAAAGAAAAAGGTCGTGCATTACTGTTGGAGGACGACACTTTGAGAACCAATTGTAAATAAATTTGTTTTTATCGCAATCAACTGTCTTTTAATGAATTTTGTCATAATTAATCATTATTTAAAAAAAAAGAAAAATTAAATACAATTAATTCTTTCTAGTTTTCATAAAAAAGGAGCAGGCTCTTTTCTTGAAGGTCCCTAAGTTGTATCGGTCCGAAAAAATCGCTGGTGGTAATCGATTCCACAACGAAGTTGTGCGAGGAAGAAAACATCTTCTAAATCGCACAGTAGTGGATCGCCAATCATCCAGATGATGTGGATGATATCGGGAGTTCTGCCACGACGTGCGTTCGTGAAATTTGGCGGCTGGAATTAATCCTGTAGTGTATATGCCTCCACCCTACTAGTAGTGTAAGAAATACATGTACTCTTAAGATTATTGATTAGTAAAATTAAAGAATTAGTCTCAGCAACACGTCTTCTCTTTCATTAACACCTGCCGACATCACATGGCAACCCTGCCAGGCGGTGCGCTGCGACAATGCATGCGCACCGCCGGGGCCTACTACATAAAAAAAGATAAATAAAAATAACCAGATGGAAGTTAGCGTAGAACATTCTTTTTTTTAACTAAACTGTGTGGCAATTAATTGCTCCATAAATGCTCCAGCAGAATCCGAAATTGCTCCACCTCTATTGTTATTAGTTATTTTATAATTAATTTTTAAAAAAATTAAGTATCAAAAATTTAATTTTGCTATAAAGTATAAAATATCTACTTTTTTAAATTAAACTGTATGCCAATTAATTGCTCCTTAAATGCTCCAGCAGAATCCGAAATTGCTCCACCTCTATTGTAATTAGTTAATTTATAATTAATTTAAAAAAAATTTAAGTATCAACAATTCAATTTTGCTATAAAACATAAAATATCTACGTTTTAAAATTAAACTGTATGCCAATTATTTGCTCCTTAAATGCTCCAGCAGAATCCGAA